AGGGCAGACAGCACAAATGGGGCAGTGAGCTCATTTTATTACTGCGGGACTGCAGACTACAGAAGAGCCCCTGTGCTGAACTGTACTGGATTACTCAGCATAAACACGGCGTGGGGCGCACATGGAGGCTACCGCTGCACCAATTCACTGCAGCTGTTTTTGCATGGACTAAAATTGGCGCTTTTGGGCTAATTTTAGAGCGTCCCGTGCGGGCTGAACTGTACCTTGTTGTCCAGGGCACTCTCCTCTCCCGCTTGCACCTTCACCACCTCCTCTTCTTCGCCCGGGGCAGTGGCTGTAGCTGATGCATCCTCCGCTTGGCTTTTCTCGTCCCGCTGCACTGAGCTCTCGGCCCCCATCGCAGTTCGTGATCACCTCTCCAAAAAACAAACCCAAATCAAATGAAAAGCACAAAAAAAGCGCGTGCGTCCCAAAGGAGTTTTAGGTAGTTGCACAGTTAAGCTGCAGCTCCGCCCCCGCGATAGTTCGGTTTGGAGGGATGCAGAGCGAGCAGGACCAGAAAAAGTCTCCCAAACAGGACGCCCCCCAACCCGCCAATACCTCTCCGCGCTGCTCGGTCACATGGGTCCCGGTGCGCGGTGATGACACGCCCTGCAGCATCACATCATAACTCCCGGGAGACAGGAGGAGGAGGAGGAGGAGGAGGAGGAAGAGTGGGCCTGTGGGGTGCACGGTAACGAGGAGATAGGGGACAAGGTGAGGAGAGAGGAGACGAACGAGGAGGAAGAAGAGGATGGGACACCTGTGGCGGTAGCATTAACCTACCAAGCATGGTTTGGTTGTATGAATTGATTAAGGAAGGTAAAATATGGGTGGAAAACGTAATATTTTATTTTATTTTTTATTTCTTAAACATTATAACTATAGCAGCTTGGAAATAACTACACTTAAAGCCTCCCTCATATTATTTTCTCATATTATATTTCCCATATTAAGTTTCCTCTGGAGTTGTGTTTTGTTTCATTCATACAAACCCTGCGTATTTAGGATTAATTCTTCTGAAAACACTCTGTTCCACCTTTTGATGTCATGTGGTAATTCAGTGAGTGCTTCACTGTGTTTTTAATGCAAATTCACTAGAATCATTTGGATGATTTCAGTGCTGGTATTGCCAATTTCCACTGAACAAAAGTTTAAAGTTAGCTGTAGAGATGTAGACAGACTAATGATAAAGGATGTGGGATTATGTTTTTGATGAGGTTACAACATTCTAACATGGTTTAAAGCTCACAGTAATCACAGTAATAATACATTTTGTTTAATATAGAACCTTAGACTCTACTTCATATTAAAGAAATAAACTACATTGAATAAAAGAAAAAAAGGGATGGATTAAACATAATAAGACTCTTAAAATGCTTTGTGGTTCATCAAACATCCATGAAGACAGAGGGTTAACTGTTAATGGTGGGTTTTCATGTGGCATTTTGTTTGGAATTTTAAACCAGACAAATTACAGGTCACAGGTTCAAGGTCAAGTTCATACATGTAAACCAGTGCATCCAGTCATGATCCTCCTAACACATGTGGGGTGAGGGTCTTTTATCTATGCAAAAAAAGGCTTTAAAAATCTCATCCAATTGATATGGGCTTTGGGAGAATATACTCTACTACAATTAAATTTTTTTTAAATCTAAGTTATAAAAATAGTTTATAGTAATTCAATTGTATTCCTGTTTTGCGTCACTGCTGAATGAGGTTAAGGTATTACATAAAAAGGGTCCTTTCTCGAGACCATTAGGAGCCACTCTTCATTATCTAAAGCAACAGCAACTCACTTTAGGATGTGAAAGTGCCACAGCCACAGTTCACCCTTTCATCTGCTGCCTCTATGTCACACTCAACACCATTATTTCTATTGGATTAATATTTAATTCAATCAATTACTAATGAATATTATCGGCTTAAACCATCAAAGTCAATATTGTCAAAACACAAAAGCGCATTGTTGTGCCTATACACAACAACACAGAGTACTAAACAATTAAGCTCAGCAAAAAATCAAGAATTTAAGTGTGTGGTGATCTCCTTTTACTGCACAATATCAGCTTTCGTTGGACATGAATGGCAGGGTGGCTAAGAGGCTAGCACTCTTGTCTCATAGCAAGAAGATTCAATTCCTGGGCTGAGTTTTCATGCTTCTCCCCTGTGTCTGGGTGGGTTTCCTCCGAGCACTCCGGTTTCCCCTCATCAAAACATGCACAATAAGTAAAATTCTCCAGCTAAAGTAGTCCTGACCAAGCCTAACCCAAGATGTGGAGAGGTGTACCTTAACCCTAAGATTTGTTGATTGAGTTAAACCATCTACACTCCCCTTTGCCTGTTCTGTCAAAGCTAATGGCTGGCTAATCACTCTACGCAAAACACAAACATTCAAGGGTGTATCAGACAATGTGTTCTCTATGTTTCTGTGGTGCAAACGATCTTAGTGGGTTGGCATTATGATAAATACACAGTACAGACTTTTGAGGGTCCCTTTCTTTAACCCCCACTAGTCCAACTGAACTGAAAATATTCATGTCAGAACTGAGTTTAAGAAAAATGTACAGTCCCCCAAATAACACTCTTTGGAGTTGTCAAGGGCTTCTAGGAATGTTTTTCCCCATAAGATAACAGGCAGTCCATCTGACACAGGGTGACAAACAGTGTGAATGACCTTGACACATATCAGTTGAAAGTGTGGGAGTTTGGGACTGAGGAGAGAGAAAGAAAAACAAAAATGGTTAGAAAATATATATATTATACAGTTTAAACACCACGCAATGATTTTAACCAATACAATATTTCATCTGAATGATCACTGGGCACAGTGTGCACAGCAACATAGAAATACATCCACCTGAATAAAGCTATACACAGTACAGTAAATATAACCTATATTTTGTTGTGGGTATATGACTCAGTGTGTTTTCTACTATTTGCTTCTTCCATAAATTAGAGTCGATCTGTTCACAACACTTCACTTTGTAAGCAGCCCTGCATGAGTGTATAAGATTTATTGTGTAATGTTTACCTATGTCAAGGAGAGGAAATACTGGTCTGTGAAGAAGTCCTCATCCACCTTAAGTGCATGAAGCCCATCTCTTTTTCCAGAAGCAGACATGGTGGGACCTGTCCTTGGTACTGAAATAAACATATCAATTAAAGACCTTGCACTACAATACAATTATTTTTCTCTGTGTTAAAGTACAGGTTTATCTTTGCCATTGCAACAAAACAGACCTGTTCACTTTTTCACTGAGCCCACCACCATGGACAGGGGGGATTTTCCAGTGCATTATAACGCAATGACAAGCACGTTGGGCCTCAGATCTGTCAACATTTCCACTCCACACACACTCACACACACATAGTAAATAAGCTGTGTACTGTATTTAAGGCCCAGATCCTGTTGGTAGATGTACAATAACAGAGTGAGCAGGTGAGGAATGCCAGCTATGAGAAGGACCCACATGTGTGCACATGCATGTTAGCTGTATGTAAGTTAAACACTGTGTAATGATGACAGACACTGCTGCTGTACCCCAGGGAGTTGTGGAGGGGGCAACACCAGTCAAAAAGATAGACATATTTTTAAAAACAGAGGAGTGGAAGCAAAACATAGGTTTCATCATATAGTAAAATGTAAAAGTTAAGCCGTTGTAAATGCAAAATGTAATTATATTCCCTAGTTGCAGTCACAGCTTATTCTTTTTTCTATGCAACCAGAATCTTAAAGGTGCACAGCGTAACATTTCTAGTGGAGGGTCCACCACCTGCTTGTCTCCGTGTAAATATCATTGCTTTGTCTCGAATTTTCCACAGCATAGATTAAACCTGCTATAAGTGAAACAAGCAATTTACAGCACGCTACATTACGATTCAGATCTTTGGAGAGTTGCCCTATTCACAGAAGGAATTACTGTATTTTTGAGCAACAGAAACACTTGTTATTAATAAATGCTAGGTGTATATATTTTTTAATGTCATACCATGGAACATTCCAGGGAAAGTAATAACATCTCCATGGAGGCAAGCAGATGGCAGACCGCCCACCTGAAAAGTTGTGCAGTGCACCTTAAAGCAGTATTTTCTCAGTCTGATTCATCAGTCAGTTTCATAGAAACCATCTGACCTCGCAGCATTAGGATTCGTTCGCTTGACGGTAGGGGGATACTTTTTTTCATTTAACCAATCGCTGCTATTTGGCCATGATGTATGTAATGCACCACTAACTACTACTTTGTACTAACTAATGTATTAAGCTTTTCCCAAAATCCATTAGGAAGAAGGGCAATAATGTCTTTCCCCTTGATAAAATTCACCAAACATTCTCTTTGTTCTGGCTTTAAATCCTTGATCTCGGGAATCGTTGCCAACACAGAATATATAGTTCTTTGCTGATTGGCTGGTGCCCGAACTCACACTTCAAGGGTTTTTGCGAGCCGTCTAGTGTATTCCAATGTCTGACCTAGTCGCTGGAGAGAAATGAAATTGAGCGGAGGCACTAGGTGGTGCCAGCCTGGCTAGTATTTTCTGGCATTTTGTGTTAATTCTTTGGCTTGCATTAAAAAAAAGAAAAGAAAAAAAAGCTCTCTGTTAACACATTAACAGTTTTTGTTGATATTGGGAATATAGATAACACTGTATGATTGTGATTTCATATTTAGTTTACCTCATAACAAAAACAGGGACAATTCAGCTTGAAGAGGACTGAGATAAGGTAGAGACAGGTACTGTACACTGTTTGCCCAGTCATACATGAGATAAGGTGAACAAGAAATTAACTGGATCATTAACTGGGATTTAATTTACAAACTTACAAACCAGTAAATTCACATGCTGTACCTCTTAAAATAATTCTGCTCATAAATTCTCGTAAAGTCTGTTTAATAAATTGTCTGTTAGGGCCATTTTAGAGAACTTAATTCTTACCAAATTCTTTTACAAAATGTCACTTCAAATGTTTGTGCATATAAGGACAAAAAGCAGAGATGCAATTTGATTAACAAAGATTTATTTAAATGCCATGAAATTCTGCAGTAGTAATGAAGTAATATTAAAAAGTCATAGTGTTAAGTTAAAAATACCATGACATAATTAGGACAATTAGTGCAAACACCACCAGGTACACCTTTGGCAGTATACAGCACTGAGATAGTACAGCATATTGGGACACTTTGGCACAAATACCTGGTGGTTAATGTGCGTATCACAGCAAATAACATCAGAAAAACTATTTTTTAAATCTCCTGAAATTTAAAGACAAATTAATGGTCAAAGAAAAAAATTTATGAAGCAAAGCAAAATGTTAAAAGTAGTGTATCGTGCAAAGAGAGCATAAGCAGATAGTCAAGTAAATTTTTTTCCAGGATACAATATTGTTTTTTTTAAGGCAATTAAAACTTTGTGAATCCTCCTCTTCTCCTCGGTCCTGTATGAAAGCAGAAAAAAGTATGTTATGAATTTGGAAAATAATGGTTTTAGAATTCATGTGGCTTAAGTTATTTGAAATCTAATTAAGTCATTATCCAATTTGTCCCAACAATACCTATGAAACATTGCATCTAGCAGCTCAGAAGAGTCCTGTGATTTCCTCAGTGACGGGGTCAATGTCGATGTCATAGAAACAAGGTCGCGTGGGCAGACCAGGCATGGTACTCATCTGAGGACAAAGAAAGTAATAAATGATACATATGTCTTTTTCAATGTATTTAAAACTCTACATACACATTGTTCGCATTTTGTGGTAAACTTGTTTGCAGACAGTTAAAGTGTCCAGTTGTTTTTAGCAATTCTTTAGTATATTGTCATCACAAGAAAGTCATTTTTAAACTGTCAATTAAATTATGACACTTTCTTGTGCCCTGCCTCTTGTAACAAATAAACAAAGGTTCATTCACAAAAGGTTCACTCAATGGTCATTATGTTTTCTCCATGAATATACACCATTTAAACTAATTTGGAAATCAGCTGTTCTCTTTACACTCTTGCAAGGGCCAAAAAACTGCAAACTTAATTATAAGACAGAACAATAAATCAAAAAAAAAAAAAAAAAAGTTTGTGGGATGATAAGTGGGGAGCGACATTCAGCAAATTGTAGGTCCCAGGACTGAAACACATGACGCCCAAATAGGTATGTTTATCTTGTGTAACCTAATCCCACAGCCATCTTGCGGTGCATACTTTGTTGAGTGGGTTTCTTTTCTCATTACGTTTATATTAAAGCGCCCACCACAACACAGCTGAAGAATACCAGACCCTGAAGACTGGATGACATCATCCATCGTACATGATAACTATAATCATGAGTCATTTAACACAGGGGCAAACGGGTGATCAATGCACTGACAACCTCCACTTTGGCCAAGATTAATTTAGTCTCACACAAAAGACCCTTTGTCCAATATCGAAAAACAAAAAGACAGTGTTTTAATTTGACTCTCCCTGTACTCTGATATGCTGCAATGTGAGCTAAAGACATTAGTAAGAAACTGAACCAAATTTAAGTTTTAGGTATTTCTAAAAATAGAAACTAAATGATAAAATTTCTCCCTCTACAGAGACCAGATGTGCTACACCTAAATTTGATAATACGAGTGATTGATCTGTCTGCCACCATAATAAGCCTATACTACTAATACATCCCATAATAATTACGGTAGATCAGATTATTATCGTTATCTGTTCAGTGTTCTTGGATTTAATTAATGTCTCTCTTAGTTAATTTTGTCTAGTGTGTAAAAAGAGTATTTACACAACATTGTTCTTTGAATAAAGGCTGATTATTAAGGTTTCTGGGGTACTGAAAACTTATTCCATTTCATCCCTACTGAGAGTATTTACAAAACATTTGGGGCATGCAGGATTCATAGAACCATCAAATGTTTGTTTCATTTATACATAGAGAAACCATTTTAACTTAATGTTGTTTTATGTTTTGTTTTGTTTTTTTGGGGGGTTTTTTTGGTTATTTTTACCGGTTGTTTTTCATTTAGTGAAGATAAAAACATATCTCAGTGAAGAAAATATAATATAAAAGGTAATAGCAATTGTAGTAGACATAGTTTGTTACCACTTGTATGTAATTTTAAAATCATATTTAAACAAAAAAATTCTCAGATCACCAAAACATGTTTAATGTACAAGTGTGTGGCATTAACAGTTTACTGGAATACCTTTTTACAGCAGCTGCTTACCTCCTTTAGACATTGAGATAAGTGTTACTATAAGCGGCATTAGATATCATGGAGAGCCATAAGGAACAGAGTAGATTTAATTAGGAGAAAAAAATAGGATGTGATTGGGCCAAACTCGCTCTAATGTCATTTGTGATGTGAACAGGAAGCAGCATGTGAATGACGCTCACGCACTGCCTGTTCTGACCGCTGGTGATCGTCTAGATTACTAATGTACTGGACATTCATAGATTTCCAATAATTACAACCAAACAGATCTACATTCTAGGTATGCATTAAAGTCCCCCCAAACCCCAAAATCCTACAATACCAACTGAAAGGTAAATTATCTCACTAATTAGAGGAGTGGCATTTTTCACATGCCTGCCTCCGCCTGACCTGGTTTTACGAGCCCATTAGTGGAGAGGAGCCCAGAGGAAGTGAGCAGCAGTTTCCTGTCCCGCTGTAAATGATGGGACAGGCCCGAGCAGACGACGCAGAGGAAGAGGACGCAGAGGAAGACACTGAACTCTTCCTGGTAGTGGGCATGACCCCAGATTTGAAGATTGTATGATCGTGTCAAAAGGCTTTTAAAGATGAGTCAACGTGTGAGGTGGTCATTAAGAATTCAGTACAGTGGTATTGCATTATGAGGTAATCATACTGGAAAATTATCTGCACAAAATATGTCATCACATTTTATTGACTTTGTATGCCTCATTCGGGACATGAGCTGCTAAATGTACAATCGATGTCAAAACTGTTACTACTTGAGTAAATAAATGAGTGCTAAATACATTATTACTAATGACCATATAATTTCTGTGACCATGACTGCTGCTAATTCAACTACTACTAACTCAACAACCCACTTAGCTATGAGAATGGAAAAATACAGTTTAACCTTCAAAAAGAACACTATGGAGTAAGAAAGCTGTCAAAAATATTCGTGCGCACGAATATTTTTGACAGCTTTCTTACTCCATAGAACACCCTCAATTAAAGTTGAACGTAACGGTTAAAAGTTAAAAGGTAATATTTGATGTGATTATTTGTTGTTTATTTTGCATTAGGAAAAAAAATACCATAATGCTTTAGTGCTCATGAGATAATGATGACAAAAATGGGTTACATTGATAGTCATTACTGGTATCCATTCTGTTTATTTGTCTTGGTTGTGTAATGTTTTACTGTGTAATAGACTGTACGAAATTTGAGTAAAACACTTCCTGTAAATAAACTTCCTTCCACTCGGAATTTGTTCTTCTATACATGCGTATTGTGAGAAAATAAATTCCATCAGTAAAAAAAAGGGACATCATCTACTCATTCACACTGCAATGCATAACGGATCAGATTTCACCCTCACTGTCCTATTGTGATCCATTGAAATTAACTTTAATTGGCAGTAAAAAGGGATGAGACAGCATGACGGCCCAAGTGAACTTCTGAATACTTCTGAGTAATGCTGCGTGAAATGGTAGGATATTTTGTTTTCCCTATATTCAAACATAAGCTAATTAACCATATACTGGCCATATCTGGATCACCAGGCTTAAAATCTTATAAACCTGGGTACCATATCTTTACAATTACTTTTTAGAGTTTTCTTCATTTTGATATTATGTAGATTTTTTTTTATATTGATACATCTTTGTTAGCTCTTAGACTGGGAACTTATCATTTCACACATCTTAGATATGAATGAACCTTTTGAATTGTTTTGACATTTCTGGTCTGGTTCAAGTTGTCCATTTAAATATCAAAAGATACACAAATGCGAGCTGCCAACGTTGTGAAGAGCAACAAAAGACTGGCTGTTCTTTGGGTCCTCCTCTCTGCAGACTCAAAAACATGTTGGCACTTGCAAAAAAGACAAAACTGCACAGCTAAAGTTGGAAACCGCACTTTGGGCCAAATCAGTTCCTCCATGATACACAAACACAATGTCCCTTTGTCTGAGAAAAACCCTGAAGGAGACAATAAAGTGAGATTTCTACCCCCACAAGTTATTATATAGACAACCACTATTACTATCTGGTAAAACAAAGTTGGGTTAGATGAATTTGATAAATAGATACAGAACCTGAAGGATTATAGAAATGTACTGATTTCTCATTAGTCAAGTAATTATAAAACAAGATAAGTGTATTGTTGTTAAAACAATAAATACATTTTAAAAAATCATGATAAAACCCTCTTCCATACGTCCAAAAACAGTATCCTTGCTGTTCCCTAAGGCTGAAAATTTGTATTGGCGACATGTGTACATTATGATACATATAAGTGTCTATGTGTATTTTTTTACATTCTTTTTTGTACAACACAACAGATCAATTTAGATCCAGCCTAATCAAAATGCTTGTCACTTAGTTCAGCCCTCATTTGATAATTTCAATTTACGCCTTCTTATGTGACACTGGCAGCTTTCTAACCTGTTGCGTAGGTGCTGCAGATAGAGCAGCTCATACGGGATGTGAACTCTACACAGATCTATTGTTCGGGCTGCGACCCCTCCCGTACATATCTACAGCATGACATCAGGCCCTTCCTGGTTCTTCACCCCCAAAGACCCTAAATACCCCTTCCACCCGGTCCCAGAGCACAACTCCCACAGCTCCCACAAGACACACTGAGATAGTACTCACCAGAAATGAAAACAGATATATTTCCAAGACAGTGACTATTTCAACATCAACCGCAAGACTGATGCATCACTAGATAAATGGAAACTACGGGAATGAACCCGTCTAATCTAGGTCTAAAGTGAAGGTAAACACTGACAAAACCACAAAGACAAAACAAAGTGAGAATTAGAGCTAAATTAAGCATAAATGAGACAAAATCTGATTATAACCTTAAAACTTAAGGACTTAAGAAAATGAAATGAACCATATCACCCCAACACCCATGTTTTTCTTCCTTTTACTTAATAAAGATGTATTGAGTTACAGAAGCAAAAACAAGTTGTGTGCGTCAGACGGTTTATGGTAAACACTGGAGATGCTGGGAAGAGATATTTCAAAATCTCTCATTTGTGACCTTGTGACCTTTAAGTTGTGTGTCTTCTGAAAAATAATTTACAAAATATATATATATATATATATATATATATATATATATATATATATATATATATATATATATATATATATATAAAAAAAGAAAAAGGATTGTATGATATAAACTGAGCCTTTTCAGTTTTGGGGCTACCTGGTCTGAATTTGTATTTTACGTAAGTCTTGCAGACGTACTCAGCGCCAACCCAGTTCAAAGCCCTCGTAGGAATCTCCCTTTGGGGTCGGAGCCACAGTTCAAGGGTGCCTCCACGGGCAACAGCACATCAAAGACTGGGCTGGGAGACTGGACAGACACCAGTCCCCCATTCTGCCAGGCCTTCCCAGCACGCACCGGGACTGACACCTCGACCTCAGCCAATCAGAACAAAGCCCCTCAGGACACTCTGGTGAAATAGCAGGAGGCAAAACACTTCCTTCCTTTGCATCACTGTGAAACCAGCATCCAGACAGACATGGCTAAGTGAAATATGGCTGCCTTAAACTTTTATTTCTGTCCATTTTAATCAGATCAACAAAAAAATTCAGGAAATTGTTATGGTGGTCCTTTGGGTCTTTGGTTTTACACAACATTAAGCAAAAATGGAGGTTCTGAATAGTTTACAGTTTAGTAATAATTTAGTCTAGTTTTAGACCACATTCAGACTTTGCTTGTCTAGTTATAGTTATATTTGTTTTGCCATGTTTACACAGAAGAAAGTGACAACCAATAATTCAATTCAAACTAGTTTTCAGCAGTTTTGTAATAGACACTTACAGTTCCAACAAGAGGGTAGATGAATCCAGCGCCGATGCTAGCTCTAACATCTCGAATTGGCAAAACAAATCCAGTGGGGGCCCCTTTCTTCTCAGGCATATGTGACAGGGACAGGTGCGTCTTCGCCATGCAGATAGGCAACGATCCGAAACCCTGTATTTAAAACGAAGTGTTCATTTCAAAGTTAGCAAAAATAATAATGCTTTTCAGATTTTGAATGAGATGGTGCATTAGGACGCAGGTGCTGTATGAGGAAAATACCTGCTGGTTGTAGTAGTTGATTTTGGCTTCAGCTTCAGCAGACAGTGTAATGTCATCGGCCCCATAAACCTTTTGGGCAATTGCTCTGATCTTTTCCACTATGGGCATCTACAAAGAGCCACACCAAAAACTATTAAACACAGAAGAATTTACATAAAGGTAAGGTAGAAATAATGCAATCTCTGTAAAACTGTTAAAAGAGGTAATAGTAAAATGAATCAAAATGGTACCGTAATTGTCATTATTTTAACTATTATTACAATTTTCAGCTGGTACAAGTAATCACGTATCTTAAAGATGCACTGTACAACATTTCTAATGAAGGGTCTGCCACCCTTTTTTCTCCACGGAAATATTATTGCTTTGTCTAGAATGTTCCACAGTATAGATTCAACTTAATTGTCACAAGGGAGACAAGCAGGTTTCAGCTCTACGCTATATTACATTTCAAATCTGTAGAGAGTTGCGACTATTCACAGAAGGAATTATTGTACTTTTGAAACATCCGTAATGAGCACATGCTAGATGTATATGTTTAATGTCCAGGCAAAGCAATAACATCTCTATGGAGACAAGTAGGTAGCGGACACTCCACCAGAAAAGTTGCACTTAAAACACTGAAATGCCCTTTTATCCTGATATTTACACATACTCAGTTACACCATGCTCAAACTGCTGCCTTCAATAAAAAGGGGAATGCCCATATTAGAACATACTTGCAGAAAACAGTGCTGACACAATTTAACATTTTTCTATTCTGGGTAAATAGTTCTGGATGAATTCCCAGTCAGTCCTTTCAGGCCTGCCACTGTCTGCTTCTCAGGAGCCTCTCCCATTGGGAAAACCTTCACTTTGTCCCTTGCCTTTGGATCCATCCCACCATAGACACTACGTTTGGTCCAACTACTCCCCCAAGAGACCACTTCTGTCCCAACTGCATCATACTCAATTTAGTAAGACCTGCACTGTGAGTTAAAAGTTAACTTGATCAACTCTCTGATCTCTAACATTTTGCTGATTTTGCTAAACTGAATGTTCTTCAATACATTATGTAACAATTTAAACGCCAGTAACCCCGTGCATACTGTAAATGAGCGAGCATGTGCACTTTGGGTCAGTTAATCAATGTCACAACATCCCAACTCAGTAACTCAAACCAGCTGATGTTTTTACTTGCGCATTCTTCTACCTCGCTCCAAAATACAAAATGACAACAAGCTAAAGATGAAGAGTATCTAAAATTAGCTCTATAAAATTCAACTAAAATGGGGGGAGTTGTGGCTTTAGTGGACTTTTGGCAGACTCTCCATCAGAAAAGTTACATTGTGCACCTTTAAAAATAATATGAGTTCTCCTTGGAATTACAATAGGTTTTCTTGGACTTCCTCCCAAATACTTGTCCTGCTCCAAATTGAACAAGTCCCAAGTGCTTCACACCTGATTTCAGATGTCAAACTCAAATCCTCTGCTTTTGTCGTCAAAATATTTTACTTCTCTTTTTTTATTATTATTATTTTTTTTACAAGAAAAACTTCCAATTAGCCCTGTCAAACAAAATATGTATTCTATTGTTCCTCCCATATGACTTCCTGTCCAGGTGGAGACGGGGGTACCACCCAATTCAATAAACACAATAGTTTTGGACATCATGACCTGCCTAAAGTCCACAACATATGATTACTTGAGATGTTAGAAAAAAGGAAAATTCCAGGAAGGGGCAGACCTTGTAAATCCGTGTTACAGAGTGCAGCTTGACCACATTACACACCATTTCCTCACACAGAGCAGGTCACTGAAGTGGCAGGTTGATAACACTATGCATTTTATTCATACTTTAAATATTTGAACTGGACATTGTCAATGCATTTTTTGCTTCTGATAGATGTTTTACTGTTTTGTTTAAAGGTCCAGTATCAAGCCTTATTAAAAGGTTTTTAGACAACATCTGGATACTTTATAATATAGTCCTTTTTGTGTAAATTAGAACCTATAAGACATTTAATATTTACTGACTATTTATTGGCTATTAAATTGACTATTAATCCATCAAATTGCCAGATGTGAAGAAAACAAATATGTTTTCTTGTCTCAGATCAATATAGTACATAGGAAATCCTTTAAGTTTACCGAAATTCTATATCCATTTACTGGTAAGCAATATTACATTTATAGTACATACTACATTCTATAGTGATGCATTTCTGGTTTCTAAGTTTGTGCAAAACCACAAATCAAAGTGTTAGCCTATGTGAAACATGTCTAAATATGGAAATGTTTTGAAGAGGCCAAATTTGATAGAGAGTAGTCTAAGCCAAAAGTCAGAGCTATTGATGTTGAAAATGAGATGAAAGAAATATACAATTAACATTTTAACTACATTTTTCATAAAAACTATGGTGCTTTGATGCAATGTATAACTAGCAGCTGTGATAGTCTCACCTCAATGTCATAGAGAAACTTGAAGTGGTTGGGTTTGCTGGCTGCCTTCTTCACAGCTTCGGCAAGCTCCAGAGACCCACGCCCGCCTAGTGCCCAGTGGTTACAGGGCACTGCATCTGCTGCCCCACACTCTCGAGCGATCTGACACACCAGCGCCACCTCCGCCTCGGTGTCAGTCCTGAGGAAAAATACAAAGATGCAGCTGTTTGTCATAGTAGTCTACATGGCAGGAGAGCAGGTTACAAGCAATAACCACAAAACATGCAGACTTATGCCAGAGTGGCCTATATTAACATTTAACACGTATCTTACTTGAAAACATTACACGCTACGACAACTGGTACTCCAAATTGTTGGGCAATCTGGATCTGCTTCCTGAGGTTGCTTCGGCACCCACCTGCAACTAAGCCCAAATTCTGAAGGAAATAAAGCAAAGACATAATGTAATTTATTAGAGGAACATATATAAACAAATTCTTCTAAAACATATGAACATAAAATCTGACCTATTTAAAAAGATAATCTGTCATGTCTACCACCCACCATGTTTTAGTTATAAAATGGCCTGCTTATAATACAGACACTTTGGAATTTAGTGTTCACTTATTATTATACATTTATATTATACGAAGTCAAATTTTGTATGAGAAGACCATGTTAGGAAAGTCCCAACAACTCCAAATCCTCTATCTTCACCTAATCAAATGAATCAAAGATGACAATATATTGCACCATACTTAATAATATTTGTTATTTCCTTCATAAATATTGGAATTCTATCAGTATGAAGTCTGATCATTTACTTTTTATGATATTTACTTATTTTTCAATTCTCACACAACCCTTGGAGAATCTGAATAATCGAATTGTGTGTGTGCACGTGTCCAGCCCCAGGCCCAGAGCGGTAAGGCTGAACAGACTCTGTAAACCCATTTTCTTGGATCTGTTTTCACTCATACTTCTGGTTCTCGTTAAGGTCTTTACAATTAGTGTAAGCTGCGCCATTATTTTGTCAGCTGTAACTAACCAAGAGCACAGCAAACTAGGTCAATAGGAATATTAGTGTTCCTCACCAAAATCGCCTTTTATCTGTTCTACACTCTGGTTCAACTGAACTTTCAAGTGACCTCTTAACTTTATTAGTCTCAAAGAAGAAGAATGAATGAGTTCCTGTGCTTAACCAGAGGGTCTCCTATATTTGGCTTTAACATTAGGGCAGCAATAAACCAAATTGAAGTTTTTTGTAACTATGCATGTTAATACTTAAATGATTATCTCCTAAATAAGTTAAAAAGTTCCCTTAACTGTTACAATCAGATCTAGAACAAGAAGAGAAGAACGTAATTTAGTAAACCACTGAAGCCAGTCATGCTCTATTGATTTTAATAATACATACCTCTTCTATGTACTCTTTAGGGAGCGGTGCACCTGCTGAAACCTGTATTTAAAAAATCAAAACAAGATCATCTCAGAATATAAATGTATTCTAAAGAAAACAGATTTATGTTTTAAGTTTCAGACTTACACCTGGACCTCCACCATGCATCTTGAGAGCCCTGACTGTGGCAACCAGGACCACCACGTTGGGTTTGAGGCCTGACGTTCTGCACTTGATGTTGAAGAACTTCTCCATCCCAATATCGGCTCCAAACCCAGCTTCAGTCACTGCAATAGAAAAATAGAAAAACACATATTGATTACATCCCATAGCTTTGACATCAATATTGCAATTATTTGTAAACGTGACTTGAAACGAAACTTTAAAATCCTGAGGTACAGAGACAAAATTCTCTTCTCATTGAACTATAATTGTATAATGGCCAAGAATATAATAAAAATCAAATGTGTTCTTTGTGTTCGTTAAAACATAAGCAATGTAAAATATTTGTGCTGGATTATTTTGAAACAGATTTTAAGTATGTGTCCGCTTTGACTTATTCTTCTAACGGAAGTGATATTTTTCACACGCCCACAGACCCAGCCTGTACACCGCTCATAATGTCCATTAAACCTCTTTTAAGATGTGCGCACTGACTTTGGTTATGAGCAATGTCCAGCTGTATGCTTGTCCCATCTGTAACACTATGTTGAGTAATGGCTTCTCCAAAGACTTCAAATGCTCTACAGGCCTCTTGAACTGGGTCCAAGCCAAGCAAATAGTCCACCTGGAGTGACAGCCATGTTAAGATAAGGTTTCCTCTTACTTGTGCATAGTTTATGTGTAGTATATGTGCCCCTATAGCTGGTTTTACGTTGTGGGAATTGTTGAGAATCCCAATTGAAAAGAATACATATATCCTTAAGCAAATAAGTTAGTGTTTCCATTACACACTTCCTTCCTTCTTTCACCTGCCAATCACTATTTATCAGCGTTAGACCTGTAATATTGTGTTACTGTGGGACCAATAGAAGAACATGTATGGACTGAATACACCAATCACTTGGGATATAATATAATGTGAAACAGCTATATCATTAACTTCATTTAATCATTTCATTTAATCTCATTTAAAAAGACATACATATATACACTGAGGACAAACTGTGTGCTCTTGTGTCATTACCAAAGCTAGAAATAACTTAAACTCTTTATAGAGAGAAGCAGGTGGCAGACTCTCCACTAGAAAAGTTATACAGAGCTCCAAAACCAAATACTGTGAGAAAATATGGACAAATCTAAAAAACAAAACAAAACCATACAATACTGACTATTACTGGCTTTATGAGAGCTGCAGTTGCACCATCCAGTCAGCATTTATCAAAACATAATCAAGTCATTGAGCCAGTCAGTTGAGCCAGCTGCTACCCACAGGTGACAGGATGAAATAACTTAGTGTAGTCTGGTGTAATTGACTTCTCGTGTCCGTAGACATAATATTATAGAAGATCAGTGCGTGTATCTCCAGTCACAAGAAACAAGGATGATTTTGTCTGTACGGTCCATTTGAACTAAATTTGGATACTTTACACATCTGATATGATAAACAGATTCAATAAATTAGTACAGTATATGTCACAGAACATACTACAGACAGTCTGAAAAACTAAAACTGGACTATCATAATGTTATTGCTTTGGAATACTTTTAATTCTTTTTCTATGAGGACAAGCAAGAACGATTTGTAGAGAGGCAACTCCTCACAACAAGAATATATGTTTTTCAGTGTATTTTAAAGCAATAAAAACACCTGTAATTGAATAAAAGCCTTTAAAACATGGATAAATACTGTGGAGCAGTCAAGGCAAAACAATACTATCTCCATGTATATATCTAAATAGGGTTAAAGTTCATGAGAAGCCCTTTACACCCACATTACACAGGGCAGCAGAGTGACCTCCAAAGGATGTGAGGAGGAAACACTTGCACACTTCCTGCTCCGCGAGTCAGCCTTGAACCGTCCATGAAGCTAAATGTTTTTGAGAGCCAAAGAGGGCTGGAAGAGATTACTGCCAGCAAAAGCATTTGTACAGGCACCTCAGCCAATCACAATAACAACAAAAGCTGAAGTAGGGTACGTCAACACCACATTCTTCACTGTGTGTAATTTTGATAACAAGTTTAGGTTAAATATGTCCAAGGATAAAAAGCTACAGAGTGAATGTTTTCTAGAAAGCTTATAACCATACATTGACTTGGATTTATCTGAATTTACAGGACTGGTAATCATACAGGAGCCCCCCACATCTGGTATAACAAATCCAGCCCCCCCTTCCCAAAGCAACATTTCTCCATTTCAGTTTAGATTCCTATGGGACGTGAAAAGCCCCTTCGATTAAACAGACAAAGTATGACCCACAATCCTGAAGGAGTTCAACAAAAGTTCAAAGTGAGACGCAACTTCACTTTAATAGAAAGGTAACATAACCTGTTGGTGCAATGTGAAAATTATGTGGCTAAAAAGATTGTCCTTTAAAATAACCTTAATAAAGCATGCACAAAGACTTAAACAAATGGCTTAAAGGCGCATTGTGTAACTTTTCTGGTGGAGGGTCTGTCAAGTGCTTTTCTTTATCGACATGTAATTTCTTTCTCTGGAATGTGGTATTAAACCTTTCTATCTTCATGGGGACCAAAAAAGACCAAGTTAAAGGTCAGATCTGTGGTGAGGCGACCCTGACCCTCAACCAAAAAGTTACATAGTGCACCTTTAATAACAAAGTTAACCAGCTAATTAACTTCTTAGTGCAGCTGAATCATTTCAAGCTTTGTTCCCATTTTATTAAGCCTATTTAAAAAGTAGTTATTTTAAAGTTTTTTTTCTTGAAAATGTTGAAAATGTGCAGTTTGCCCAATGTATAATTTTGACACCAGAAGTGGAAAACCCAAAGCAAAATGTTCAGTATGCGGGTACAACCCAATTTATTACAAATAATAAATTATTTTTAGATGGCAAATTGAATTATAAGAACACTGAGAACAAAAAACTTATTAAGACTGAATTCCCCTATTCTGAATTATTTTTGTTCCAAGAATGCATGTTCCTTCTGGGAAGAGACTCACTTAGACAAAGATTTTGAGATCAAACTGATTTATTGAGTAAATATTTATAATAGTATCTCTTGGTTTAAAAAGCAGCAATGCAGACAAAATGCAGTGTCTCAAACATTAGTGATTGAGGTGGGGGGTAAGTGTCTCCCAGCTGGCGAGGGAGGGGCAGGAGTTCTTGGCATAGTTCAGGGTCAGGTAACAAACACAGGAGTGAAAGGAGCAGAGGGATTGACAGAGCAAGACAAGTGGAGTTAAAGTGTAGAGGAAGGCTAACCTTAACCTTAGTGAAACCAGATTCTGAGCTGTCAAGTCTTCAGACCGGTCATAGATGGATAAAGGATATGTCTGAACAATATTTCATTAACATACTCCTTTACTATATTGTCACATCGAGTCCATATCTAAAACACTGGATACCTGTCTTCTTCAAGCTTTTCCAAGCAAATTACAGGACACTTAGATCGATCAATTTCCTTAATACTTCCTGGTTGTCACAGATGCACCCCACTTGAAGCCCATATATGGACTGAATCAACACATCACCGTCATAATATTCTGTATACTGTAATTCTTTTACTATGACCTAAACTCAGGTGAACCCAGTTCCAGTGAATATCCCCAAAACTCTCCCAGATTCTCCACATATTTGAGGCAGCCAAGTGAATGAATGAATGAGAGAACAGCGGCAGGACAGATGCATTGGGAGATAACACTGAAATACCAAAGTCCGCTTTGACGTCCTGGATTAGAGCGGTTTACTTTGAGGCATTCCAGAGACTCTTAACTTTATCTAGTTCCTTCCTTTGGTTCCTAGAAAGTTATGTAGCTGATGGGGGGGTACCATGTAAGTATGTGTTCGTCATTTGAACTGGCATTAAATTTTTGAAGCTTTTTCTTTATTGTACATCGAGTTTTGGGGGGTGTAACTGAGATTTTACCATGCTGTGATTCCACCTTCTCTTGCATTTTGAGCTGTAAGGCTGAACTTACCCACAAAGCCTTCTCGTCCCACCAACTTTAGAGCCAGCTTGTCGGCGAGCACTGAGGAGTTGCCATGGGCGATGTTGGCGAAAGGCCCGGCGTGGACAAACACTGGAGTGCCCTGGAACAGTTAAACAAATACACAGGACAAAATGAAAAACCACAACAACAGACGCATAGAGGCAAAAGTCAAAAAGTTTCACATGAAAATATAACTTAATATTGGTATTAATACACACACAATTAATATTCTGAATGTGAAAATGTTCAGTTGTATTTTGAATTATCACAACTACTACACTAACATTTACATCTCGATCTCCTCCAATTACTAAGGTTCCATTTTCTCATAGGCTGAGGTACAAAAATATTGATGAAAAGTAACTACACACTATATTCCTCAAACACACAGGATTTCATTGTTGATTCCTTCCTTCAGACACTCTGCAGGTAGACATTTGAGGACAAGAAGCCATTGTTGAGCTAGATGTTTGAGGAAAGAGGAAGGATGGGAAGGACCTTATTGACGTTTTGCAATTTTCTACACTTTTGTTTGCATTCCTAAGTCTGGCTCGATAAACAAGCCGCCCGCTGTGGAGTAAATCAGACATTTTACAAGGTCCATTGCTGCTGGGTTTGTCTATGTAAACCCAACATAATAGAGAATAGACAGAAACATTTACAGTAGTATAAAAGATTTTAACACAGACCAATTATGGGCATTTTTTACAGAAATTTAAAAAGGTCCTGTAATAACAATAATTTTTCATGCAGGCTTGGCTTAGTTAAACACATATAAAAGTACAGTTAAGTTTCTGTTGACAATATTAAAAACATGTTTTTCAATTCCATACCCATACAATGTTCTCCAGATTAAATGTTCTGTATAATGTATGTGACCAAAACAGGAAGATGGTTATCGTTTCAGTATTTCCTCCTCTGGGGCATCTCAACGTGTGCACTACTATCAATTGAAAAACAACATATAAAATATTCTCATGGTAGCAAACTAGCATGAGAACTACTGAATGAAGAGAAGCCATGACAACCTCCTCCGCAGGAAAGATGCAGGGGACTCTGGGACTCCACGTAGACCGGATGTTTGACTGCACACAATGATTGGGGCCCTCTACATAGGCACGTACTACTGAGCAAAGGTTTAAACATCCTTTTCATCTTTTTTAAAAACTAGACGCACATACGAGTTTAGGCACTAGGCTACAACACTACTCCTGTGAAGCAATGGTAAATTATGTAATGGTCAAACCTGTAATCATAAAACCTAAAACCACATGGTTAAGTTTGTAAAGAAACACTCAGATAAAGTGAAGTGAAGTGTCAAGTATTAGTGTTACAATTATCATGAGAAGAATCATCACAATTTAATTATTCATGTTTACTGACACATGGCCAAATAACTATGAAATCCTTAATTTTCTTTCACTCCTCGCTATGAAATCTAAGTTTATATCAGATTTACTTTACTTCAGAAACAGCCACGTAAAAGCACTTGACATTTACTTAATTTTGCCACTAAAATGGTCATGATTATAATGGCCTACACTAAAATGATTTAACGAAATACTTGTAATGCAGGGGTCTCCAATGTTTTTCCTCAGGTGAGCTACCTTTACAAAACGAAAATTCCAGAGAGCTACTAATTTTTGCGGTTGCAGAAAATAAAGTATACATAAAAGCCATGGCAAGACTTAGATGGGGTACAGTTATATAAAACATAGAACATAAACCATTATTTATTTATAAGTACACAAAGTCAGGCATTAAAATGATAGATTTACAATAATAATAGGCATTTAATTTTGAGTTATTCAGGACAATACATGTAATTCAGGAATCCCTTGGCGAGCTACTTGAAAGGGGTGGAGAGCTATTGGTAGCTCCCGAGCTACAGGTTGGAGGCCCCTGCTGCAATGTGTAATTTAAATATATGTGAATAAAATAATTTCTCATATTAAGATCAATCTCACAAAAGGTACAGTGGGCAATGGTGGTCGACATACATGGAATTTTCTCACAGGGCTCAGAGATCTGGATCCTGAAGGCGGACCAGAATGACAGGAAAACCACAACGGAAACAGCTTCACACAACAGAGCCACAATATTTCCTCTTAAAAAAACGGAAAGTAACCAAATCCTGCTGCCTGCTCTCTCTCCACCCCTCCTATACCCATCAAAACAAGCTGGTTTGTCTGTGTTTGTCTTACACACCCAAAGGCAATGTCATTGAGATTCACAAACACTATACGCCAGTGCCCTAAGACAGTGGGTTAGAATGGTGGTTTCCTGTACACCACCTGTCTTTGGCTGCTGCTAAACTGTTATGATAAAGGGGACAAGAGAGGAAAAGGTCAATCTGTCAAGCTCTTTAAAAGCTCTCATAGGACCCATCTTTATTTGTAATGCTTTTCCCTGACACAAAGGAATGGTTCAAAGACAGTTACAATGTGCATAGCTCCTGCCTTGCCATTGTACTTTTTGTAGCATCAATGTTTGGAGTAAAGTTATGTGTAAAGTGATATTATGAGCTGTTGAAATGATGATTTGGGTTAAGGTCTCACCTCTAGAGTCTGCATAAGAGTAGGTTTGATGGCATCTTTCATCAAAACGGCCAAGGCCCCGCTCACGCCCTTCACAGGAAACCAAAGAAAAACATCATGGTGGTTAGACACAAAACAGCACTCAAATCTATCTACTTATCATTGTGGCAGAGTGTTAAAAATGTACATTGTATATTGAACCATACTAACAGTGCTGTCTCTAGATATATATAGGTCTTAATGCAGAAAGGCAGGTTTCCAAAGTATGCAGTATAATCAGTGAAAAACAGACGGTATTTTTACTGTGCCAGAGCTTTGGGGTGGTGATGTTTTTGCATCCTGCTAACCAGACTAACTAACGTAACTTTATATGGGAACCTCCTTTTTGCTCTGTGCATAACAAGAGCCAGCTGACTCCACAAATGGACCAGGTAAGAGAAAGACCATTTTAATTGCAACCAAGTGATATTTTGACAAACACCGTTATAACTTGAAGCAGGTATAATAATAATGTGTTATTTACAAATCATGGATTACAAGGGCATAACTTGCATTTTTTCTTTTCAGACTAGGTGAAATGAAGAGGTGGCTATAATTTTCTTGATGTCTCTTACTTGATACTTGAAGCCCTAGTATCAAAATCAGTATTGAAACTGAAAAAGATGGATCGGAGTATCTCTAATTCTCAACCTACAGCAGACGACCATAGTTATAGGCCAAGCTGCACTCACCAGGTCCTCTGCGGTGACCGGACATCCTGAGCGGCTGGTGCCCACCACCATGCGAGCCAGCCTGCTCCTCATGTCCTCCAGACTGTTGGACAGAGCCAGAATTGCCATGATTTCACTGGCAACTGCAATGTCAAAACCGGTCTACAGAAAAACACGATCAAATTACAAACAAAACCAAGAGTTTTACTAAGAACATTAGTTATAATCGAGTTACTGAGTACCCACAGTATGGAGTTCTGTATTTAATTGTTGAGGCATGGTTAGTTTGCTATGGTAAGATATGATGTTTAACACTACAATACTTTGTCTGTCCCTACAAAGAAGTCGCACAGCAATGCATCTTCCTCCCAAATATATGTAAATTGCCATTGACAGCATATGATTATTTTCCTCAATGAACGCTCATTTGAATAAACTTAAACTTTTGGACGTATAAATAATTATTCTAAACAAATTGCGGTGTTGTTCAAGGTCTCATTTGTAACTTTCACATTAACAAGCTGCTAACAATCCTACAAACAAGTCACAGAATGAAAACAGAATTCAAATATTTGTATATTGACAGCAAACAATTTTATGCCCTAGTTCCCTTCTAGACAAAACCCTTTTAAATAAGCTTGGAAGAGCTACTTACAGAATTAAAACCGAATGCAAGGGGAATGTAGGAAGACAAGAAATTTGTTCTACAATGTGAGCAGTATGGTATCTAAAACCATATCAGCCAACTGGGGAATACTGCTTTTCACCTTCCACTCTCACTGCCAATACTATTGGGACATATAGTGTATCCAGCACTGAAGGAATTTGGGGCCAAAATTCAAATACAGCGGACAACCCAATAGTTTTAAATGTAAGCATGTGCTAAACTAACCTATGGAGTTTATGTGTGTCTGTGGGTGGGTCATATTCCTAGTCCTTTAAACATTTGCTTTCACTTAAGCCCTTCTTGCTTCCCATTGAGCTGAAATGTTTATTTACACAATTTCATTTATCTGTCATTACTACAGACATGTGGGTGCAATACATATGGGTTGAATCAAGACGAGTGGTGGGGAAGGGGGGCATGAGAAAGTGAGCTGCAAAGAGATTGGGAGTGGGTGTCTACAAACAATGGCATTACAAAAATGTTCACACATGTCCTTCTCTGTAGTGGAAACTATCATTCCAGTGACTAGTGTCTGAGCAAATGGGGAAGTATTCACAACATTTAAATCAGCCCAGAGGTGTTCAGGTGATTGTAAACTTCAACTATGTTCTGAATTAAACCACTTTGGTATGTAGATAAAAATACCCAGGACAGAGGCATATAGAAGGGGAGATATAAATGCATAGAACAAGTACTTAAATGCAACTTCAGTTATATAAAAATACATTTTAGGAAGCTGATTTAGAGCATTCATTGATATAAATGATCTTATCTTACCTCTCTTGCCTGTCCTTTTTCAGTGCTAGCTTGTCCAACGGTGATCTTCCTCAAGAAACGATCGTTTGTGTCAACAACTGAAAGAGAATAAAAATGTGCCATTAGAAGATATGCATTTTTAAAAATCATAAAAACTATAACTTGCCACAATGAATAAAATAAATTAGGTCAGAAATGTTACGTTAAGAGAAGATGACATAAACATTAGCCATTTAAACTAAGATTTATATCTCCTCTGCTGGTGAGAGTGAGGTTTGTTTGATTTAGGGTCACACCCCTGTAACTTGTGCTGCTGAATGTGGTTTTAATCTCCAGACTGGGTCCCTTTGAGAGCGCTGTGCAGACAGTGGACTACATTCCCCATCAGTCAAAGCGGCACCCCACTGCTGGTTCTCACAGACACATTTAAGCTAACATGGTTGCAAAAGTAACAGTTTGCTTTGGTTACCCACTCTACTCAGTCATTTTAACTGCTCTATAAACACATATACTGGCTACTCTAAAGGACAAAAAAACCCAAACGTCTCAACACTATGAATGCCTCCTGATTCAGTTTATGGGGAAACAATCAAACATATTACATAATTAGATTAAAAAAAAAAAAAAAAAACACAATTGTTCTTAGGAAATAGATGCATCTACATTATTTTATGAGGAACGTACTTGTGATAAAAGATGGATTAAATTCAAGACATGACAGATTTTTACACGCAATTACAGAAAAAATGTAAAAGATAAATTAGTCACTTGTATATATACCTCTCTGCCAAGTGACTTGCTTTGGGTCCAGATCAAGGCGGACGAAACTGCTGACCTCCTGTGGTGTGAGAGACTCAGGATCTGTTTTAGTGATGCCCAGGCGCTGAATCAAAAACAGAAATAAATGTGGGAACAAAATGTCAATTGCTTAAAAATGTATTTAGGATTTTTTCATCAAACAAATTACACTATTACACAATTCTTTAATTGCATCATCTGTTTGGGAAAAGCTACATGAAAATTTATCAGACAAGGCAGGGGGAAAAGCATCTTCAGACAAGTTTGACAAGTTTGCTGCTGGGGCCCCCTTGTGGACAAAACCTCCACATTACATGTTAACAATAAAAGTACATAGCATAATTGATTCAAATAAATCAAATGAAATTAGATTCTCACACACGCAGTTTATAAGTTGTATTTAAAATTATAATTTTTTAAAATGTTTCAAATGTTAAACTATATACTTACACTATATTTAAAAATGTTTACATACATTATTTACACTGAGAAGTACACATCCAGTTTCTGTATTAATTTAATTTTGATTTACCTGGAGGCGGCAGATTTGAATTGGTGAAAATTTCTGAACACCATTGACAGAAGGGACCAACCTTTTGTACAGAGCCTATAAAATCAGAAGTGTCAGTCACGTTAATGTTTCACAGTGTATTTAGTCGTTTATTCTGTATGTTAAATATCATTATACTCTTTAGAAATCACACGCTGACCTTGTCTGACTGTGTTGCCTCATGAAGCATTCTGGCATCAATAGCAGCTGCTACCAAGTTGTTTGCTGCAGTGATGGCGTGAATGTCACCGGTCAGATGGAGATTAAACTGCAGAGAAGAGTTTAAAATAGCCATTATAGACTATATTTATGATTTATATTTTGACACTCAAAACTGTATTTTAAAGATAAAATTACACTATACAATTAGCTAAATTTAAATTTCATGTAAATCAGTGTTTAAATGTTTACATTTAGGTGTGATTAAGCAATAAAGTTCAAAAATGTAGATTTAAACTGACCTCCTCCATAGGGATGACTTGTGCATATCCACCACCAGCAGCACCCCCTAGGCACAGAGATGTAACAGTTTGTGATCAGCCCTGTGTGACTTGATCAAACAAGCACGTTCTTTAAAAATCTATTTGACATTAGTATTGAACAGATGAAGACCTTTGACCCCAAAAGTAGGTCCCTGGGAAGGCTGTCGTAGACAGGCAAAGGAGTTGAGCTTTAGGTGGGCAGAGAGGGCCTGCACCAGGCCAATTGTCACTGTGCTCTTCCCTTCCCCAAGTGGAGTCGGTGTTATACTGCAAAAGAAAGACAATATTGCTGTGTTAATGCACAGCATGTATCAAACCAGATAGCCCAGTTAGTAGTACCATGTAAGAATGTATTTATTTATTTAATATGGACATAGCAATTACATGGAATTTAGCCAGTTCTATTGTTTTAAGTGTTTATAGCACTAGTGTTAACACCAGTAGGGAGCCAAAGAGGTTTAGAGTCCAGAAAAGAATGTTAAAATTTGATGCAAGCTATATTTGAAACATTATGTAAGCAGGTCTGGCCTGTTTTCAACCACAGTTTCAGAGTCCAGTTGAAGATGTTGGGGTCAGTAAGTAGTTTCAGGTCAGAGGGAAGAGAGGTCCACAGCAAAGAGAAACTGGACTGTCCGAATGAAGTTTTAAACTTTGGAACTACACAAACAGAGCCTCTGGTGTTAGGTCTGAGAGAGCTCTGACGCCGTACAGCCAGACATTTAAAATTTCAGAATACTAAAATTCAAAAGTGAAAATCTTATGTTTCTCGATGATTTCACAATGATGCCATCATGGTGCATTATTCATTCATTCCTCATCCAGTAATGGTAAGTTACTATTGTAGCCACAGCTGTCCTGGGACAGACTGACAGGAGCGAGGCTGCCAATACACGAAATCAGCTCTACGACCTCCACCAACATTCACACACACACACACCACATTCATACTGGGCTATGTGTTTTTCTTTGCCATTGACTCTCCACCTGCAATTATCAGTGGTCTCCCATCCAAGTACAAACTAGGCCTGACCCTGCTTAGCTTCTGAGATCTGACAAGAGGTTTGGCCAAATATACAGAAACAATTGGCTTCACATGACAGAACTGTGATAGGAGAGATGGCGTGCATGTAGAACATAGTAGCCTAGTGTGGTAACTCCCCCATGATGAAATGGAAACAGTTCAATTTAGATATGACCTTCCTGAATACATTTTGGATCTGGTGAAACTTTGATAGCACTAACCTTTACAAACTGTTCTCTATTTACAGCTGACGTTTTATCATTTACAAAATTTCCATCAATTTTCAAATAATCAATAGTTTGACACCTTATCTTTAAGAGTTTGTGTGTTATCAATGCATTTATTTGCTTGGCTGGTCTGAAACTTTAGATAGAGTGCAGAGTGGTGTAAAGTGCTCCCTTTTTCACTATTTTAACAAGATTGGACTTTGATATTAGTTAGTTGATGTTTGATTGCCCAGTAGTTTTATGTGTGTGTGTACTTTTGTGTGTATTTGGAGTGTGTAGAGAGGGGTGGGGTGTGGGAGGGCTTGTTTTTGACTTTTGTTTTGTTTTGTTATTTTTTTTGTAAAAAAAATAAAAAATATAATAATAATAATAATAATAAATCTTAAAAAGCAATTGTAACAACACAGGTGAATTATCTCTTAAAACATGCAACATTTGCGCAATGCCTCCTATGCTCCACAATGTGAACCAGTTATGAAGTGATGGCAAAGACTCACCCAGCGACCAGCACATAGTTCCCATCAGGTTGAGACTGTAGGCGGTCTAACAGAGATAGGCGGACTTTAGCTTTATTTCTGCCATAGGCCTCCAGTTCTTCAGGGAGCAGACCAATCTCCTCTGCCAATACTGTTACTGCTTTGGGGGTCTGAGCTCTGGAAATCTCAATGTCACTGTAGAAAAAAAACACTTAAACATTTTAGTTCTTACATTTTCCAGTTTTAACACTATTGTCTATGTTTATTGTGATAATTTTGCTCTGTACCTAGGCACAGGGGTCAAGGGCTTCAGTTTGAGGCTCCTCAGGCTCCATGGTCTGTACTGCTGCTCCTGTAACCAGCGGATCAAATTCTGTAAAAAGAACATTTAGAACAGGTAAACTACAAGATTTGAAAACAAAGACAGGAACAGTAGTACCGATATTTGAAAACCTGTATTCTGTAAGCAGCGACAAGGTGCCCTGATCCCAGCTTTGTAGAGATCTCATTTTCACCTAAAACAGAAAGCATGATTCATTATTATTATTATTATTTGTAATTTTCTGGTAGAAAACTTATCAAAGAACACTACTAATAAATGTATGTCACTGTGTTTTCATATAATTTAAATATACATTAAAAACCTTGTAAATCAAGGGGAAAAAAAATAAATAAATAAAAACTCACGAATTACTGCTGCTCCTGGTCGAACCCAAGCTGGCGGAACATTTATATTTCCTTCTCCTAATAGGACCACAGCATCAGCCTTCATTACCTGGAAAAACAATACTGTTGCACGTAGATGTAAAGGCTGACACCATGTGGTTAAAAACTATGTTCACACTCTAGTTCTAGGTAAATTATAAAGTATTACCCGCTTTTGGAGATTCTTGGCAGTGGCGTGACTCTTACTAGCCTGCATGCCGCTCCGCTCAATCAGGGCTTGAAGAGAGTATGTCTGTGGTCCCTCTGGTCCAACCAACAGCACAGATTTCCCTTCCAGTGATACATCTGAGAAAGTAAACTTATTAGCTCTTGTAGAACAGAATAAGAAACAAAACAAATATGAGCAGGGGATTAGGCAATATATAGAGAGATTTTTACCTCCGCCAAGGAGGTTATGTTTTTGCCGCCGTTTGTCTGTTTGTTTGTTTGTCTGTTAGCAACATAACTCAAAAAGTTATGGACCGATTTTGATGAAATTTTCAGGATTTGTTGGAAATGTGAAAAGGAAGAACTGATTTCATTTTGGGGGTGATCCGGAAGAAATCCTGGATTCTGGATCACTTTGAAATTTTAGTTAACATTGTGGTGGCCAAAAATTTTGTTTCTCAATATCTCGGTTAATTATTGACCAAATCCCATGAAGTTTGACTCCAGGATGGACAATGGGATCCTCTTTCATATTCCAAAGGCTGATCCGGATCTGATCCAGATTTTATCGCAATTTATATAAAAATGGGGGTAGTCCTTGGCAGAGGTCTGCTGCTCTCTGAGTGCTTTTCTAGTTTTTACTAGAAAACAAAAGTCTACATCAAATTTAGACTAACCAGTGTTGGAAAAGTACTTTGGACACCCCTATAAATACAACAGAATTTTAAACTGACCATGATTCTTTAAAAGATCAAGGATTGCACTTGCTACTGGTGGCAGAAAACTCTGTCCGCTGTCCCCCCTCAGCAAACGTCCCACATTCACATCAGACAGCCTAATCAAGGATGGAAAGGAAACAACACATTATCAATTTCAAATATCAAATATTAGCAAAATATAACTTACACCTCTGAGATTATAATAACTGTCAATATTTGCATTGGATGAAGTAATTGCCTTGATTTATTGTGATTACATAGGGTGCCTAGCTCATTTTCTGCTCACAAGGTGGACTAACACGCCGTTTCTAACTTTGTCTAATTGTTCCCAGGCCTTTCTGATTTGGGTTAAGTCTGCTCTCAAACATGTGAGTGACTGGTAAGCTCCCATTTGATTACACTGTATCTGGAGACATGGCTTTACAAGAAGTATTTAAGTTATTTGATCTACCTATATAATATGAGATTTTTATAACAGTGCTTTACCCATCGATGTCCTTCTCTGGTCTGAGAGCATTGACAACTCGACTTGTTAGGAAAGAAGAAGGAAGATGAATAGAAACACCATGTACACTTGGGTCTTCATTTAGCTTCAAAATCTCCTCAATGACCTGGAAAGAAACAAGTCATGAAAATAAAATAGTTAAGTTATATTACTGTCACTAGTTATTACAACTTTATAGTGCACCTTAACCTAACCAAGTTAAATCTGTAAGTTTTAGAAAATATGCATATGAAATATAATATGAATGTATAATAATGCATTTATAATTCATATAATCTATCCACAAAAGTCTGACAAAATCTTTTTGGATAAAGGTACCTAGTTATATAACAGTATGAATCAGGCATTGGCTGTTTGTTTTTATTGCACACACATGAAATGTCAAAGGGGTAAATCGTGCAACAACTTGTTAAACAAAGGCGGGGGATGGCTGTAATAACTTGATAAGATAATAATCTACTCACTTCATCTTCAGTGCTGTGCTTAGAAAGACAAATCTGGCTAATTTTTAGTCCAACCTAGAGGAACAAAGTAACAAAACATATTAAAGCAAATATAAGAAAAAAAAAAGAAAAATATAATGAAAAGTTACCATTTCTGCCACTTTCTTATGAATCTCCCACATGTTGACATCTTCACTTGACTTGAAGAAAAAAAAAGGACAGAATACAGAACAGAGTAGTATAGTATATATACATGTATTAATATGTTTGATGTTTTCCCCAAAAATGTCAATTTTCCCACTAATTGTGTGCCTAACCTTCACATACCTGCACGATAACAAGTGTAGGTTGGATAGCAGAGTTTTTTCTCTGGAGAGCTGCCATCGCTTTCTTAGAATGTTGAACAACTTCTCTGCAGGGTCAAATAAGGTAATGTGTACATGGTTTTACATCATAGATTAAAACAAAACAGTCAAGCTGACGTATAGGGTAAATGCTTTATTGTTGTAAATGGAGATGCAACAATCTAGGTCTGTGGCTTTAAAAAGCTGTCAATATCAGTGGAGTTAACTTACTATAAAATTTATCTGATTGTCTTATGTACCTGTTATCTGTCCTGCAAGTAACTAAACAGCTTTGTATGAATTAAAGTTCAAACATCATCAGATCAGACATTTGATGTCCTGAGTTCAACCAGGATATCGACTGAACTGATATCATGGAACCAATACCTGATAACGCAAATTTTCCTGGATCTTGGTATTGGTGCATTTCTAGTTCCAGAGCTAAATAATACGCTTTCATGTATTAAAAGGTTCTATATTATGCTACTTTCTGGTCTGTTATAATGTTGTTACCTCGTCAAAAACATACTTTGAGTAGTGTTTTGTATCATTCACACAAACCCTGCATATTTATGCTGCGTACTTCTCTCAAATGGAAAACTCTTTTCCACCTTGTGATGCCATGTGGCAATACAGGAAGTGCTCTTCTGTGTATTAAACCCTAAACACCCTCACTACAATCATTTGAAACTACTGCTTCATGACATCACAAGTTAGAAAAGAGCATTTTGACCTTTGAAGATGCAGACAGCCTAATAATGCAGGATTACTCAACCGTGGAAAAAACAAAACAAAAACACAAGTCCTGGTATATTTTGGTGAGGTAGCATCATTCTAAGAGTCCATTTTGCGTAATACAGGACCTTTAACTATTATAGCCCGCACTAAAATAGGGGGGGGGGTTAAGTGGGGTCATGTGGCCTAGGAGGGGCCAGGATATACCCTGCCTACAGCAGTGAGGCTGTAACACACTAACCTATATGTTCAGAAAAATGTAAACACTGGGATGATTTTTTTTTTTCTTGGTCATTGCAAAAAAAAAAAAAAGCCATTCACTGAGACGATGACTTAATTTGAGACCTGTCAGATTTAGAGGGGGGTTGCCTGTGTAGTTATAGTTTTAAGGTAACGAAGAGGCAAGTTACTGGACTGAAAAAGCGGTACACGTGTACGCGTGGCTGCTAGACAAACCGTCAACTAACAATCAGGAAACGACAAAGACACAAAATACAATACTACTTAGAGATATGTCTTACCTAAGAGAGCTATCACACTCAAAGACATCCTCTTTGGCTGGATGTTTCCCGAGGTCAAAAGATACTTTGGCATTGAGTCTGCAGCTTGAAGTCGCGTATGCAGCCCGCAGAAGAAGACTACTGCTGGAGGGTCCCACGGCCAGACATCTCCGGGACAATCCGCTGACTATGTGTCCAGTGCGCTGTCCTCGAAGGATCCCACAAGTGTTTCGGATTAATGACAATTTCATTGTGTGTTCTTCCTCGTGTTTCCTTGCTGGTTCAGTGTCTCTCTGAGTTGTGGGAGGCGAGGACCTGAGTCAGCAGCAGACGCCAAGAGAGTAGAGAGGTGGCGCTAGGTCCTGATGGAGGTACGGTGTCTTCACGGGCAGTGAGAAAGTCGGATTCACAAAAACGCACGAGATGGCAAAAATAAAACTGACAAATAAATTGCTGTGCGATATGTTGTATCACACAGTGCGCAAAATACACTCTGTCTAAACATGTTCTCTAATGTCGTTACTACGCTAAATGTCGCATCCCTTCCATAACACGTATAGCCTAGTTAATAATGCATACTTTATCGAAATATGATGCATGCTATAACATATGTGTAGCGTAAGTTAAGAACTTCATTGAAAAAAAAAAAAAAATAAAAAATACACCACACTATAATATAGGCCTGTTATGCTTATTAATTTTTTTCCGGACGTATTTGAAAGCAGCTGCATAATGCTTCTTGTTTCTGAAGCGGAGTGATATAGGCTTTTACTATCAGCCAATGTGAAATTTAAGATAAGATATTACAGTGAATTCTCATACTAAGTACACAGAGCTTTTAAAATATCAGTGACTGTTTGGTGTGGCAAAGAGGCGTGGCTCAGAAAACGTGACCGAGACTAAGGGTTCGTGATAACACTAGACACACACAAAAAACGGAACTCTTTAACAGCAAAATGTATGTGTAACAGTATAACAAGTAAAATATGTTCATTATATCCATATAAAAGCGTCTTCCCTATACTTCCATCTAGCACACTGGCGCCCCTGAGTGTCAGTGTCAGTAGAGTGCGTGCCCGATCCAAACTGACCGGGCTTCATTCCAGGAGACACTTAACAGATGCAAGAGAAAGGGGTGGCATCATAATCAGACGAGCTTGGGGACCAGTTTGAGCTCCAAAGATAGCTCCATTACGCACGATGGCTACATTGCTGCTACTCTTTGCGCAGAGAAGTCAACAGTAGGATGTTGTTGTGGGAGCTCTGACGTCTGCATTCACATAACTAAGTCAAGTCAAATTCATCTGTCTGTGGGGAAAGGGAAAAAAACAGGTATGGTGATTTTCTTTTCATTTTTTACAATAAAAATTACATGAGACTGTGGATAGTGATTTATGGCTGGGAAAAATTCCTGTCCCAAACTTAGCAGATTTCCTTTATTATAATAGGCCATTGACCTGAATAGTGTTAATGTTGGTGATCCTGGTGTCAGTGCCCTACATTCTACTAAATATTGTTTTATTTTCTGGTAACATGTCACAACAAAATATACACATCCAAAATAAAAATATATATACCAGACTTGCAATACAGCATTATATTTGTGCCTGTTTGATTGGATTTATTAAAGTAAGATTTTAATCAAAAAGCCAGAAGTCAAGTGAATATCTCAGCAGATACGTCAGATGGGTCACAAGCTAAAACAACTGGTTTGGTAAGGAGCTACACCTTGAGTTATTCTCCAAGGAACCCGTTCTACCAGTAAAGAGTGCTGTACAAGAAGGAAGACTCAAAGTATATGATATTTTAAGATTTAAGGTGTGTAGCAGGACATGGAAACACATATGTGATGATAATTATCTTGAATATTGGAGTATGGAATAGGGAATTCTTAAGTCAAGGAGAAGAAATTAAAAGCAAAAAAATTATATGAGCAGAATTGGAAGGTTTTAGAAGGTTTTTGAGTGAAAAAATATTGCTGATAATTTGATTTAACACATCTTATCGGTTCTATTTTACACATCTAATAAAAGAAGGTCTACACCTTGACACTAAACCTAATTCCTTCCCTTAGTGCAACCATGAGGGACCGCCTGAGCCACCTCCAGGAGATGCAGTCCAATGGGCACGTGGAGCAGATGGAGTACACCGAATCTGTCACCGGCGACGCTTTCAGCAACGTGGATCTGGAGGAGGACATGCAACACGAGGCCATAGTGTACGACAACAGCCCTGCCCTATCCGAAGTCTTTGCCCAGTCCCAGGAAATCCACAGAGACATCCAGCTCATCCGTCTGGAAGTGAAGCGACTCCGGGAGCAGAATTCTCGAATCCTCCAAGGCACCTCCACTATGAGCATAATCAAAAGAGACTCCAACGCCATAGGGGCTGATATCAAAAGCAAAGCTGAGAAGGTGCTATCCCATCTACAAACTATGGATGGAACTGCTCACAAGTTGGAAGAGCAGTACGGAGCTAACTCAGCAGTCACCAGAATCGCGAGAACCCAGTATGCTTGTCTTAGCAACGGCTTTCGTGATGCCATGTTCGACTACAACGAAGCAGAAATGAGCCATAGGGAAAACTGCAAAGCCCAGATTCAAAGGCAGATGGAGATAGTGGGGCGTGAGGTAACGGGTGACGAGGTGGAGGAGATGATCGAGACAGGACAGTGGAACATCTTCACCGACAACCTTCTGAGTGAAGGTAAGACGGCCCGCTCAGCTCTGTCCCAAATCGAGAAGCGCCACCAGGAGTTGTTGGATTTAGAGAGCAGAATTCAAAACATACATGAGATTTTTCTAGATATTGCCCTGCTGGTAGAAGAGCAGGGGCCAATGATCACATCCATCCAAACGAATGTACAGAAAACTGATGAGCACATACAAGGTGCTTTGGTTAAACTGGGACGCGCCAAGAAACATGACAGAAACAACCCATTTAAAAAGATGTTCTGTGGCTGCTTTCCATGCTTCAACTCATAATGCACCTTGAAGGCTTTGGAAAATAGTCTCTTTTATTGTTGAACTCCTAGGTGGAAAGATTTTATTTGGAGTAATTTTATTTTTTTATATTTCTGGTGGCCTACCTTTTGCAACTTTCTTTATAAATACAAACATGAACATAGAGTAATGCAACATAAATGTGATTCTATTTCTCACAATATTTTTCTACTGATGTGCCTTTCTTCTATACTAAAATGCCATGGAATAATAATGTAATGTAATAATGTGCAATATTGAATAAATAAAAAAATAAATAAATTATTAGCTCACTTTGAAAAAAAGGATACATAATTTATGTTTAGTGAAGGAAAAAAATTAAAGCATTGTATGAAAATGTAAACGTTGCTTATTTATCTTGCATTTACAATGTTTTGCATTATATTATGTCATACAAACATAAATAAAAAAAATGCAGCTTGTTTTTGTCAACTTAATGAAAACTACCACATAAATTGTCAGAACTCTAATGCCTAATGTGTCCTGAATGCAGCTCCATACAGTCTAATGTCATTAGTCTCCCAACTCAAATCAGCTGGCCCAGTCCAGAAGCATTACCTTTTTACTTTTATCTCTGTAGTTGGTATTTTTCTTAATCACTGAAAAGATTTTTGTGCACTTGCAAATACTTGGAATACTGGAATAAACACACACAAAAAAGAAGAAAAAACCTGAAGAAAGTACAATGTGGTTTGGTGGGAGGGCTAACTTGTGTTTGCAGTCACCTGGGAGGAGGAAAGGGCAGTGGTCACAAAGGACCCAGCACAGTCTTTGACACAGTCTGCAGATGCTCGTATCACTGAAGCTTTGTAAGTAAGATTGTTGTCCCCAAAAAGGATAACACTGGACTTTGGATACAGAAACTACAAGTGGATATCAGAAAAGGTACAATTTTGCAATTTCTGCAACTTTCTCAATCATGACAAGATTGATTTTTCTTTCCAAAAGCTACATAGTATAACCCATATGTTGATTTAGCCTGGACATGTTTTTAGAAACATAGTGGACTTTGTATTCTGCACAATAACAGCTATCAAAGACATTTTTTGATGTACATTGAGCATCACTATAAAGTAAATGCATAAAAGTAGTCAGACAACCACATTGCAAGTGTCCTTCCTTGTTCCTGCATTCCATCTTTGCATTGTTGTGGGCACCTTTCCTTCTTGTTCAACCTCTTTTATCACACCTGACACTTTTCCCCACCCATTCTAACCTGCTTGCACACTCTTCCTCCCTCTGGATCACTGACCCAAGAAGGTAACCTGTCCTGTGCATTCTCTGTCTTCATATATGACCCTCTTTGATTAACTTTTTTAAAATTTCTTTTTCAAGATTAAGGAAAGATGCGGGACTTGATGGAGAGGCTGCACACTGTCCATGAGGAGCAGGAGGCAGAGTATTATCAACCTGAAGATGAGACTGATATTGGGGAGGTGATGTACTCTCAAGAGGCTGTGGTGTTTGATACTCCCTCTGCTCTTGATCAGATCCTCAAAGAAGCTCTTGCTGTTCGAAAAGAAATATCAGTGCTTCATTTTGAGGTGGAGCGTTTATGTGCCCACAATGAGCGCTTTGGCACATCTGTACGCCGTCTTACTTTGTTGAAAGAGACTCAGACTCCATCGCCCGGGGCATTGTCCAAAGAGGAGAGGCTCTCTATGCGCGTATACAAGACCTGGGTAAGAACAGCAGGCAGCTACAGGAGACAGAGGGCCCATACAAAGCAGTCAGTCGCATTGCCAAAACCCAGTATGACACTTTAACACATGCCTTCCATACTGTCATGAGTGATTACAATAAAGCGGAGATGATTCAGAGGAGTATGTGCTGTGGGAGGATCAAGAGACATGCTTCTATCATGGGGACTGAGCTCACAGACCAGCAGTTGGATGAGCTTGTGGATAAAGGGGGAGAGGGCTGGGCAGAGTTCTCCCAGAGTCTGCAAACTCAGGGGGCGCGCTCATCCCGCTGGGCTCTAAAGGAGATCCAAGGCAGGCACAAGGAGCTGCTGGAGCTGGAGTCAAGACTCAAACAAGTGCACGATCTTTTCCTACAAATGGCCATCCTGGTGGAGGAGCAGGGTAGCATGCTTAACAATATCGAAGCCAATGTTAATAGCACCCAGGAATGTGTAGATAGAATTAATGTGCAGATGAAGAAGGCATTAAAATATAAGAAAAAGAATCCCTTCCTTCAGTGTTGTCCCTGCTTGCCATGTTGGAGACAAAGCAAAACCTGAAAGCCAGAACTGAAAAGATGACATTTTTAGCTATTGGGATTTGATTACGTATTGTGCATGCCTAGAGGCTGGACACTTCTGTGGACAAGATGTCTTCATCCTTAGATGAGTGCTCTTTTATAGACTGAATTTCATACTTCATGTAATGTTTCAACTTTTAAAAAAAGTTTTCATTTCTGTTTAAAAAAAAATAAATTGTATTTTAAAGTAATATGCACTAGAAAATTTAACACTTAACTCACAGGCCTAGGCTACTGGTTGCAGGGCTCATTATTATTTACTCTATTCATCTTGCCACAATGAAAACACTGAATCACTTTTTACACAAGTCTGCTCTTTTCTACACTGTTTTGGCAGTGATAAACTAAATATTTTATAAATTGTTAAATTGTTTTGTTATAACATTTTTCTTTATTTCACAACGTTGATAAACTATGGGTGGTTCAACTGTACATTTTCTAATACACCGCTGGATGGCAGCAAACGTCCACAGACTCGCGTCTCCTCCACAGATCGTCTGTGCTCCTGTCGCTGCCTGTTCGTTCTGTAGCTTGTAGCGGAGCACAGAAATACACACAAGAGGAGGCGGCACCATCTCTAAAGTTTCAGCTGACTTTATTTGGAAACTTCACCACGACACAATAACTGTATCAGTTCTGTTGCACGCGGTTTCAGTTGGTTTATTCATTTACATTGTGCACCATAATGCTATTTGTGCAGATTTTTCTTTTCGTTTGTGCATGTATCTACTTTTAATTTGACATTCGCTTGGCTACATGAGCACATGCTAACATTCAACGCTAGCCGAAAGCTACCAGCTAATGCTAACTGTGCCAGGCAACTGCGTGATAAAATGCTCCTGTTCAATTTGTGATGATAATTTGTAATCTCTAAATGATAATAACGAATTAGTGTCTCTTTATAAAGCTAACCCTGCAGCAATGTACGATTTTAAATATATTACTTGTGTGTTAGTGCACGTGCCGCTGTGCCGATAAGCGCATTTACGTTATTTACAAAAGACGTATTTGTCCTTGTTACTGTTGAAAACTGTGACACTCGTATCTATAAAATACATTGAAACATATGTGGTATTTATTCACTATTTTGTAGATAGAATGGGGGGAGAGATGGTGTATGTACCAGGATGGCCGAGTGGTTAAGGCGTTGGACTTAAGATCCAATGGACATATGTCCGCGTGGGTTCGAACCCCACTCCTGGTAGCTTCCTTTTGACGTATTTCTCTGTCAGAAAACGGCAGATGGATACAAAACTCACGTACAAGCGTTATGTTGTGATGGCGTGAGTGAAATCTGCACAAACAAGTAGATATAAAGTCGCTTTTTATTTGATGAACATGTCACTTAATGATGTAATTTCGATTCACGACAGAAGAGGGCAGTAAAATATTCCAAATGCTCTGGTTGGTTGAAGCGTGAGCAGAACGTTCAATCTGTTCTGTTTTTTCTCAATCTCAATGTCACTCCATGGGCTATCATACATTGGGGCCTACAATAAACTCGAATGTCTAGTTTCCAAAGGATGAATAAAATTACTGAATGAAATTTAACCTTTAATAATACCAACAAGTACCAAAAAATGAATGAAAATACCAAAAGTCATTACTATATGCGTTCACAACATGGATCAGGATCTTATAAAATTCCATATTAGACTTAATGAGACTTGGTAATCAGCTTTTCAATAAACACACAAAACACCACTTATTTACTTGAGACGATTTATAGCCTAATTATGTGAAAATGAGCTGCCTTTATGGCTCAAGTTCTCATCCCCATCCTGATGTAGAGATTTAAGATCTGCACTAAAGTCTTTTGTCAACCACTGCTTTAATCAATGCAATTTTACTTACTTTGATGTGCAGCGTGAATCACTTTGCTCACTCTTTGTTTTGATGGTCCGGGCAGATGTTGTCCATAGATGTCTTTTTTGGGTCAAATCAGACATTGTTAATGTCAAATAAATCTATAGTTTTGGCGCTGTAGTGGGTCCCACTCCTTCGATCACGTGACACCAACCACGCCATGTTTCCATCTCCGCGTCAGGAAAGTTTTTACAGCCAGAGGGGATAGTCTGAGACCCTTGTCAATTTACCGATAAAACATGAATACATCCGGTTTAAAACGTCAAATTATAATGAATAACACTGCAAAGAAAGAAGCTCCTTATTTAATAAGGAGAGGATTGCGTTATATTTTATACATTCAGCAGTGTCACTATTTGCGTATTTCTCCATGACCACCATCTCTAAAGAAAATTGATGTAGCTTTCAGTTTTATTTTGAAGAGTATCTCGTCGCACAAACATGAACGATTGCCCAACTTGACGTCGCCGCAAGAAGCAAGGAGAGTCAAGCAACAGGAACAAAGTTGTGGGACCTTTGATACAATCGTGGAGTGTACTCGTGAAATGTAAAATCCGCATGTAGTGGAAACGCAGGTGAACTAACAACACACACCTGAGGAGGAATCTGAGTTGCGTGGGCCGTTCTTTTCGGTGCAGTGGACGGAGCGTTAGGAGCGTTTTGGCACACTGTGGGATGCGCTTTTCTCGGACCAAATTACAGTTTAAAGGAACACCTCCAAACTCGCCCAAAAATGGCTTAAGTAACTACTTGATGCATCCTTCTTTTACAAAGTTTTGGATCTTGCGTAGCAAAACGTCTGGATTTGTGTAGAGGGGAACACGTCCCGGGGTCCCTCGGTGACAGCAAAGAGGTTTGTGATTTGTTTTTTTTTACGTAGACGGTAAAGTCTCGTGCAAAAATATGACTTCATTAAAACTGTAAAGTTTGTTTCCTGGATGAATGCCTTTAACATGGATTGATTCTGGTGTACGCCTTAGCGAGAAGTTACTAAGCTGTTGTGAAACTTAAAGTCATACCTCAGAAGTAGAATATTAACTACAAAAAGTTTACATGGAGTTAGAGCTTGAACTAGGCTACATGCAAACACGTTTTTAGAAAAACATGTCATGGTTTTCTCTTTCAAATCATTTAGACTAATCTTGCTTTAATTAAGATTTAAGATATAATTTCTTTAGAGTTGTACAAAACAAAGCCAGGGTGGTGCTATCCTCAATACAATGTTATGGTTGATGGTGAGCGGTTGTCTTCGGTTCTCTTATTTTTAGATCTTGCATCATCCTTTAAGAACTGTGACTGACTATTGACTGCAAGATAAAGGGTCCATAAACTCCTTTCATGGTAAAGGCAGTCTATTGTGGGACTGGACAGAATTTGAACGCACCATACAAGTCTAAACACTCGGGCATGAATCCATTTGTTAGAAAGCTTGCCAAGCTGCATGCACTTTGTCATGTTGACCTTTATACTAGAGGTCAATGTCAGATGTAAAGCAAGCAAATGAATTTGTTTTACGTGTTCAACAAAGGCAAGATTTACAAAACAGTATCCCTACATTATTCTGCAAAACTAACAAAGAGTACTCATGCATAAAATAAAAGTGGAACAGCTGGAACTCTGGGCATTTGGTCATACCTGAGCTTCTTTTTATTCATATAATTTTATATATCACAGTTCACTGATTAACATAGACAGATGTGTGAATATACCTTGCATGTAGTTGTCATCACCTCTTTTCATAACAAGATCTAATGAAGCTTCTTTTAATTAACAGAGCAAAATGTCACTTTATTGTTATTACAACTTTGTTACATGGCTACATGGCTTATGATGTATTGTCTTCATTTAGTTTTGATTGCACTGTGCAAAATGGGATTAGTGCTTTCAGACAGATGTTGGGAGGTGTCAGGGAGTTGTTTGTTTATAAGGAGTGTTGACATTCATTCAACTCTATTATTTAGTTAGCCGCAACATTTACCAAATGTGGGCGCCACTTATGCTCCAATGAATTTAAATCACGGCAAATAAAACGTTTGATATGTTTTCCCTTTCAGGTGGAGAAAGATTTAGTTGGGCCAAACACTACATTTTCTAACACCGACATCTTGGATTAATTGAATGCCATGGCAACGCAGGGCAACACTGCAGAAGGAGGAACGGACGACGAGTTTAACGACATCATCAAGTGCAGATCTGGTACGTCAATCTTGTATCAAGGAGATACAAGCTTATGCACTCATCTTTCAACTAAATTTTGTCATCACGCTTGCCTCACAAATGGTTGCTAGGAATCCAAATATTGGGTTTACTGATATCCTGATAACAAGTCATAGTCACCATTTTTGTCTTCAGTTAAATAATGCATTACTACTGTTAGGCGCTTGTGTGGTACGTGCGTATTATCAGCAGTCGGTGTGAAAGGAAACTCTGATGTTGCCAGAAATCCTGTTGTGCATGGTTAACCTCAGTTCCCATGGTGGCCACTGTAGAGACAGGGCCAACGCAAGTAACAAAGGCACAGTGAGAACAGGAGATGGTCGGTTGTAATGTGCTGCCTTGGAGAAAAGGAAAGTAACAGTAAAGGTGGCCAATGGCAGTAGAGGTGGTGAAAGACAAGAATGTAGGCATGGCTTTATAAAGGCCACACCCAGACGAGCTTTCTCAGCAGATCATTGCATAGGTTAATCTTTTGTAGACGACACCCGCACACACAGCAAGTTTGAGAAGAGCACTATGAACTCATATTAGTTTAAAGATTAGCTTAGTAGCACACTCTACCCAATTCAATCATAAAATCTTTGCTTTTTTTTAAAGGGCCCATATTAGTCTATTTTCTGATCTCTGTTATAATGTTGTTTCCTCATCAAAAACATACTTGGAGTTGTGTTTTGTTCTTCTCTCAAACACAAAACACTAATCTGTTACGTTTTTAAACTTCGTACACCTTCATTAAAATCATTTGGATTATTTCAGCCCTTGAATTGCCAATCTTTACTGAACTAAAGGGAAAAGCAGTTAACATGAAAACTACAGTTTCATGACATGACAAGGTGGAACAGAACTTTTTGAGCTTTGGAGATGTAGATAATTATAAAAGAAGGTTACTCAAACATGCGTGAAACAAACAAAACACAACTCCAGGCTTAAAACTCATAAGAATCCATTTTGTCCAATGTACGACCTATAAAAACATTTTCATACACTTTCATAAACTTATTGCAAAATGTGTTTAGATGGAAATTCCTCCTTGTTTGGGTATTATACAATACTGAAGATCTTCATATGCAATGTCTCCCTGCACAACCACCCAGAATGCCACAGAGACCTGGCAGAGTCTGTGCCAAGAATTCCACTGCTCCGATGGAGTTAGCAATTTAACAACGCTCGTCTCCAAACCACAATCCTTTTCGAACACACATCACATTCAAGTTATATAGCATCCAGAAAGTCTTCATTTTGTAATATGAATCGAGGACAATTTTGCACGCAATGTTGCAATATCAAAACAAAAATGCATGAAGAGTTTTGTATTGCAATTATAGGGAGTCTGGTCAGTAGAGGCAGGTGAGAGTGGAGGAGAGGTGGGAGTATGTTTTCTCAGCTGCTAAAGCACATTGACAGAAGCATTAATGAACTTGGTCTTGCGCACTTACCCTTTACAACAGTGTGGTGTGTTAAAATAAATGGTACCTTCTAGCATCTTACTTATCGAAACCACTAAATGAATATCCCAGTCTCCCCAGATTCTGTAGCATTTGGGTATAGTTACTAGTGTGTGTAACTGCCGAAGTAAGGACATTAGTCAAGTACTACCACTGCACAGTTCAAAGACATGCACACTTGCACTTGCAGGAATCCGAGGTGCTGCTGTCAGGTTTTCCAGATGTTAAGGTTGTTATGTAACTCCATAATTGACTGCAAAGGGTCAAACGTATATATTGTGCTTACAGCAAAATGGAAAAAAACAAACCAAAATAAAACAAAACATGAAAAATTTAGGCAACTGACACAGACTTTTTATTATTCTGCCAATATAATGTTAATACTAAACTGTTAAACTTTATGTTTTAGCTGAATTGGTCAACGACTTCAGCTTCTCTCAGTGTTTCTCTGTCACTGCAGTGACCTATCTACCAAAGTGTCCAGCATGTTCATTCAAAACCACACTACAGGAAATCCATCCAATGTTTGGTTAGCGTTTGCCTTAGACTTGTGTCCCCTTACCTCACCGGTCCTGCCCCTCCCTCTGTTCACCTATTCAAGTATGGAGACCAGTGTGAAAGGTCAGATATCACCCATCTTGTTTTGGCTGTTGTTTAACCGCTATGACCCATTTTCTCACACGTTTATTTGTCACTTGAGAGCCTCACTAAAGGGGCATGTTCAGGTTACTCAACCTAAGCTTCTCGATCCATTTCCCCATTGTTTATGTTGTACGTACCATGCCGACTCTCTTACTTGAGTTGTTCAGTTTTGTGCCATGCATGTGTGCACTAATGTTGGATGTTGAAACAAACTATGCTGTCTCTTTGGATAGGAATGCAGCTGGAGTTCGGGAGTGGTTAGATTTATGTCACCCTACTTGCTCAGCTACCTGTGACAAATCTATTATTTCTTAAATGTTTGTATTGCAACAGGGTGGACATGATTTCAGTGGCAGTCTAGCATTTGTTGTACACCTTATCTTTAATTTTCACCTTGTCAAGTTTTTGGTCAAGGATTAAAGTGGACTACTCAGTTATGGAAAAATGTGTTTAATGTCTTAGAAAATTATAAAAACGCCATGCTTTTCAGTTTCAGTTAGTTGTGGTGATGATGCATAGGCGGGCGGTTGTCATAAAAATGCTTAAAATGTAATGGAGGGTAACATGACAGTGTATTATTATTAAATTGATTGATTCATAAAAGCAATTACATGAAAAAATGGGTGTGCTTTGGTTGTCTCTTCTGAAGAACAAAAAGCAGACATTCAGGGTTTACTATTTAAGGGTTAACTAGTCTGGAGGTGTGTTAAATAGTTGTAACTGCATAACACAGGGCAAAGAAGCACATGCACATGATTGAGTTGCCACTTTTCTTTTGTGTTTTCATTGTTTCTGCTACACCTGCTATGGTTAGCTGGAATCGTTCTTTTGGTGTAGTATTAGCAAAATTCTGTTTAAATTAACACTGCTGTTGAACAAAATGGCATTTTGTGAGAATTTTTGTGCAGAATATTTATCTGTTGTACATCCATTATCTGCATCACCAACCATTCACAAACCATTATTTCTAATTATTTATCCTTTTACTTACACTTAATTGAAAACCACCCATGAGCCATCATAATAACAGCTTGTTTTCTTGCTTCCTTGACTTCATGCCACCTTTATGTTCTGTTGAATGGAGGAACAGCACGCCTCCTATGGGAATGCTGCTTGTGTTGTGCAGTTATAAATATCCAATAGCCTCTTTACTAGCTATAGCTCACTCCAACAGCTCGGAAAGTGGGTGGAAAATAGAAGCTGGAACTTTTGGGAATGGAAACTGTGGCTCAAAACGTCACCCTTGGGTGGAGTTGACTGTGGGACCCAGTGCCTCAGCCTTGTGAGTGTTCTTTCAGTATAACTCCACTCCACCCATTCTACATGACATTTAAACTTGTGGACTGAGTTGAAAATTATCTGTCTTGTCTACTCTTGAGGTTGTAAAATGAGTACACTACATCTTCTTCTGTGCACTCGCCTTAAAGAGTTGCCTACTGTGAGACCTGCTCATTAGAACTACAAATCCCTGTTGGCAAATCTTACCTTCTGACCTCTCGCATGACAGGATTTACCACAACAAAAAATAGGCTGAGGCCCAGACACAGTCTAGATTAACTCTTTAAGACTAGACGGGCACTTCGAAATCCATGCTTCTCATAGCTGGTTGATCTATATATAAAGCAAAGCATACCTATAGAGGCCCATAGAAAAACAGTCCATTGATTAAACATGTTTTCGTTTTATAGTCTGCTAAATTGTAACACTAAATAATAATTCATGAAACGTATACACTCAGGACACTTTACATTGAAATTAGTCCGTAGTGTGCTGTAATTTGTTTAATATTTCATATATTGGTTTCATACTACATTAGTTGGGTAAAAGGGAGAGAGAAAGAAAGAGAGATACTTTATTGACCCTGAGGGAAATTCAAGTTTTGCTGCAGCAAAAAAAAAAAGTATACAAACAAAACAAGCAATATGCGATTTGGGATTTATGTTTTCATAGTAGTTCAGTATGCTCATATTAGACATTCAAGAAAGGACAACAATTTCGGAAAAATACAAGAATTAATTGCATTTTTGACATGTTTGTAGAGGTCTAAATAACAATGTAAGCAGGTTTTGTTCATAATATGTCACATTTAGTTGTTTGCGCAGGAAATTATGCTGCTTAAAGTTGCAGTGTTTGTGATCTGCTAATCATGATCACTGAAATTGAGATTTTGAACTTATATATCAATCCAGCAATTTGTAGGCCCATTGCTGGACCCTGACTGGACTTTTACTTATTGTGCAAAAGTTTTAATGAATAAAGGATGACACTGTATTTTAGTATTTTGTCAACAACACGGGACCTTCTTTTGGTCCATTCTGGTTGATGTAGATCTGGAAAGTCCCTCTTGGTCCACTGCCTGTGACTGGCCTCACCCTGACTCCACTTCATTCCTCTCAGTGATTCTAAAGCAGCTGTAGTGACGTCTATAGAACATATCATTTTACTTAACTCAGAGGTTACTAGGGAGGAAAATTATTTTAAAAGAATGCATATTTTGTAATTTTTTTGCTTGTGGTAATGGTATATGACATGAATTGAACAGTATTGAATTGTATTGAATTTTAATTAATATATATGTTTACATATACCAGTATATGAATCCATCAATGTTGGGCAAGCATAATCAAAGTCTCAGTTCTGTCACTGTCAACAAATTATTATTATTTATTAGTACGTTTTTGTTATTAGTCCTGTCATTAGTTACAATGGGGTGGTCCTTCTCACCTCCCGATGGGCCCTACTACCACCAAACCCCCCTTGCAACTCTACTTCCTCTTTCACTCTTTCTCTACCTCCATCATCAGTTTCTTCCTGTTCCTGTTTACGTAATGTTTGTTTTTCTTTCTTTGTGTCAAACGTTTTTAAGATGAATAAAAGTAGATGGTGGTCATT